GCCACAGAGAAATGATTTTATCCAGCTCAGGAGAGGATCACATATCCCTAGTGAGCATAACCTGCTGACTAGCAGATTATGGGGAACTCTGTCGAAGGCTTTTGTTATATCGAAATAGAGCACAATTACTAGTTCTCTGTTGTCCCTACTTCGTGTAACTTCATTGAAAAAGTCTATGTGACAGGTCACGCATGATCTCTTTTTGAGAAATCCGTGTTGTGATGGATTGATAAGTTCATGTTCTAGTAAGTTGTCTGACACTTGGTCTTTAACCACTTTCTCCATTATTCGGGATATTACCGGTGTTATATTGATAGGTCTATAGTTGCATACACTGGTTTTGGCCCCTGCTTTGTGCTTAGGTAATATGTATGTGGTTTTCCACACTTCAGGATAAGTTCCAGTTTCTAATGAGAGAGTAAATATTCTAAGTAACAAGACTACCATTTCCGTGCTACCATTTTTGTACATGACAGATGGTATGTCATCTGTTCCAGTACTACCGTTAGACTTCAAAGTCTTAATCGCTGAGTCTACATTTTGTATATTAAAGTCTATTCCGCCTAATTTGTGGTTGCTTTTGCAAGTCATTTGGAAATTTTGGGTCGGGTGCACTCTGGCGTCATTGCAAAACCACTCATTGAGGAGTTCGCTTATAACCTGGGGATCATTGTGTATTATACCCTTATGCTCCAAGCTGCTTACAGTATTGTCTTTACTACTTTTTAGACGTCTCTGCAATATCCTACAAAGTTCCTGAGTTTTGGAGTTACCCACAAGCGCTTTATTTTCTTCAAGTTGTGACCTCATTTTGTGTTTCTCTTCAAGCCGTTTAAGAGTTTCATGTATTTGGTTTAACGCATTAAATTCCTTAAATACATGGTATTTCCTTTTCAATTTCTTTAGTTTTAGTCGCGTTTTGCGGTCTATAAATGGAGTTGGTGTCTTTAGAGCAGATTTTAGGGGCGCGATTATGTCTCTTGCTGAGCCAATTGTTTTGTAGAAAATATCGAGTGATACTTCTAAGTTATTGTTAATGAAGTATTCTTCCCAGTCAGAACTTCTCAGCAGATCTGATAGGAATTCCCAATCGGCATTCTTATAGTCCCTATACTGATAGTGCACCGGGGAATTTTTAGGTGTGTGTTTAGTTGTTAGTCGGAATGGTAGCGTGCAGTACAATATGTTGTGATCACTGTTATCAAGTTTATTTCCTACCTCTATCGAGATGGGCTCAATTTCATGACAAAGGATTAAGTCAAGAGTGTTTTCATTTCTTGTAGGGAGGCGTACGCACTGCTTCCATCCGCCTACGTCTATAGCTTGTAGTAGCTCGTCATGGATTCTAGGTCCTGTACAGGTATCCCAGTTTACTCCAGGTAGGTTGAAATCGCCACAAACTACTTTGTAGTCAAAGTCCAGCGTAGCTGCATGCTCTAGTATTTCTCCAATAGCTATATCAGTCATTTCAGGGCTATTAGGGGGTCTGTATAAACATCCCACGAGAATTTTATTTTCGTTTGTGTGGATGCTTATCCACTTAGATTCAGGGAGTTTGTCAGTAGTTGGGTTATTGAAAGTATTGGAGTTAGTGGATTTAGAGGCATATATTAAGCAGCCGCCTCCTCTTTTGTCAACGTTATCGTTCCTATAGATGTCGTAGTTGTCTATTACTAGCTTTGAGTCAGGTATATCAGTAGTAAGCCAGGTTTCAGTCACCATTATTAGTGTTGGCCGTTCTATGTATGCCAGGCAGCGAAGCGATGTTATTTTGTTAAGGAGAGATCTAGCATTCAGGAGCATAATCGTTAGTAAACCAGAGTTATTGGAGGAGAGGTTAACATGGTTACTTGTTTCTATCCCTACGTTATGTTTGGAGGGGCTCTGAGGTGAGACAGAGTCAGTGTGTGTACTATTTCCTGGATGAATTGTGCAGCGAGTGGGGCTATTGTTTGCTGCATCCGAAAATAATCCTGTTGCATGTTTTGACTTTTAGCATCCATGGGTGGGCATCTGCGTTCATTTACTGGTGATATATAGTTTGCTTGACCTAGGTACCCTGTGTTAAGATTACCTTGGTAGTTGTACCTCATGGGTCTTTCATAGTCGTATGCATATTGGCTCACATCACATGTGTGAGTGAAGTTATTGAGAGGGTCATGTGTCGATCTATACTCATTATGTTGCTGAGGTTCAACATAGATAGTGTGAGAGTTTGGAGAAGAATATGCATTAATATGGTGCCTATACGAGCCCCGTTTAGTGCTCCTTATATTCTGATGATCCGTTCTACGTTGCATTCCCAAGTTTTGTGCGTTGCTAGGTATATTACTCCTAGTTCGGGAAGGGGTGTTCCCATTCACATGATGGATGACTTTTTTGGGAATATGGTTTTTTACCCATGCATTGTCTTTTTTTAGACTGGCATGTTGCTTATTAGACTTATTGAGAGGGAGGTATGTCGAAGTCTGGAGTGGGACTCTAGGCTTTGTCGTCTTTCTTGCAGTTTCTACTGCGGGACTCTCGGGCTTGCATCCAGATTGAGTGTGGTCTGCCAGTGGTTTCTGGTCAGACATAGTTTGTGAGTCAATATCAACCTCATGTATGTCAGCAGGTTTTCCAGATGTGCTCTCATGTACTTTAGGATTGCACCCAGTGACACTGCTCTTACTGAGTTTCGAGTCGCTTTTACTTGCCGATTTTTTTCCAACACTATACAGGTGACTTGCTGTGCTTCAGTGTCCGTCGACACTTTAGCACTGATACCAGGTGTAGTTCTCGGTGTGGTCAACTTTCTATCGAAGGAGTTCTTGGTTGCCTGCCTTTGGTTAGTTGTTTTATCCGAGACTACTTTAATAGTCTTGAATTTAGTGGCAGTAGCCAGAAGATCTTCGGCCTTCTTAAATCGTTCAGCTATTATGTAGCTGTCGAACCTAAAGAGTATAGGACAGGGATGCTTTAGGTCTTTCTTACTTAGGCGAATGCACTGACAAGGTGCACTCAAGAGATTTGCAGCCTTCAGCAATGAGTGCTGGACCGACTTAATGGGCTCGCTATCTGGTACATTATACACTATAGCGTTTTGTTTCGAAGCCAGCCTTTTAACAACTTCGCTGGATAGAAAGTCAATGGCGTTTTCTAGCTCCTTCGCATTTTCTGAGTCAGTAGGCGTCATTCTAGAGGTCATATTAAAAAGCTTTAGGATTGTAGGATCCTGCAGTTCCTTTTTCATAAGTGAGATTGTTTCGGGTATACATTCAAATGAACTTAATTTCGTTTTTAATTCATCAATCTGTAGCTGCATCTCTTTAATAATGCATGTTAAGTAAGAGAGCTCCACTTTTTCAGACAGAACATCTTCCACCTGTATTACAGGGGTCAGAGTTATGTTCGAGTCTTTTCTGTTGGGTGAACTACTAATAATAAGGGGTGGTAATGTGTTATTAGACGAGCTGGTGCTATTTTCTAAATTACTGGTGTTCACACGAACACTCTTTTTAGAATTTCGGCCCATCGTTATTAAAGATTGATCAACAGTAAGCAATAAATGAATATAAACGAAAACACGTGCAAAAAGCGTCACCTGGTTCGAACGTACCGGGCTCTTAGTTTGAGCACATTTTCTTGTGAGTAACATCTTTGTTGTTTTTCTGGACAAATTTTAGGGGGTGTTAGTGTGAGATCTGCTATATATCTTAGATAATATCGGAATAACACAATGATCAGAGTTCATTATAGGAGCACGTCTGCGTGCTGCATATATTTCCGCATCATTAATAAATAATAGATCCAGTGTTTTACTAAGTGGAGTTGGAAATTCAACAATATTGACATGACCTAATGATTCAAGAAAGGAACAATCGCAGGTATTGAAATCTGTGACAACTGATGAAGAGTTTTCGAGATGTGTAACAGCAAACGCAGTGAATTCATTGGCGAAATCAGATAGATCCGAGGCGGAACAGCCAGGAGTAACATAAATTTTTTATTTTTGATTTACAGCTTGATTCCACACCGTATTTTCAGTACAAGTATGGAATTTTCAGCATGGATATCGGTTAGCCCGAATTCAGGCCTACCATAGATATCGGGTGTGCGCCGGCAGGGGATCGAACTCCGGACCATGTGCATGGTCCGGGGTTCGAAGACGTATTTAAACTTGGATAAGTGTTTCGGACGACATTTGACTGTTTTACAGTCAATAAAGTCATTAGGAAAAGGAAAACATACATTATTTGAAGTTGACCATTGAGAATGAATGAAAGTTGCAACACCTCCACCTCTTTTCTTTCTGGAGCATATTCGATCTTGTCTAAACAACGTAAAACCATTTAGAGAAACCAGGTTGTCATCATAAAGTTCATGGAGCCATGTTTCTTGTAATGCAGCTATCGCCGTATTGTGATAAGTATCAGATTATAAGAGAGACTGGAGATGCATAATTTTGTTGGGAAGTGAACGGCAGTTTGAACTGACAAAAACAGGGATAGTTGTGCGATATAGAGGTGTCTGTTTGAGAGCACCGTGATGTTTTCTCTTAGTTTCATTAGATGCATGAAAGTCATATGGTTTGAAACGTTTGATGAATTCATTGCTGTATTTGATACGATTTGTGATGATATTTTGTTAAAATTAAAAATGAAAACATTATGTATTAGATGCAAATATGTAGGTGTACGGAAAGGTAGCCCAGTTGTCAAACAGGCTTTGAACTCGTTTCCAGTTGGTTTCGAATAAACATAACACCCACGATTGGAAGTTTTGGGTACTTGATCTTGTGTTTGTATATGTCGCACTATCCATGAACACCAACACCCTCAGCCTCTAGAACCCCATCAGTTAGCAGTTTGAAAAGAAGGCTACTCTGTTATACGGAAACGAAAGGCTTGCTCATATGCGTCAAGGAGGCACTTAAACTGACGTGGTTTGTACTACAAATATCCTCGGATTTCCATCAATGTCATGAGAAGTAGGTTTGTACATCTTAGTCAAATGGACATTGGATATTTTACGAGCGAATATTAACTTCTAGGTCATCTGCGGAGTTCTAGTTATATAAATGGCGCGACTAACGTCTTTGAAGCTCCGACATATTCAGTTACTCTTGTGTACTCTATACACGTCATGGTTCATTTTCGGGTTGTTCAGCCAGTCTTTTGTGGATATATTTTCCCTACCTTTTTCTAGTAAACAAGAAATATATAAGCTATTCACATTCCATTTGGTGACAGATGAGAGTTTCGTTTTTCTAATGACACTGGTAGCCTTTTTTATTTATACGAAGCTTGTTCTAGACTCATGGAGCACGACTGAAGTAGTATTTTATTACTGGCTTGTAAATGTAGCTACTGTTATTGTATCACTTTATCCTCTAGTGCTTCAATTATTTAATTTTACCGTTTCTGTCTCTCGAATCAATGGTGCATCTGCCTTCGTTTCTTCAGTGCTTGTAGTTCTTATCCAACTACGGCCAGATCAACCGGTTATCAGCTGTAAGGGCTTTAGCATTGTATCCAGATATGCTCTTTTGTTGGTACTGGCTGCTTATTTCATTGCAGCCATAATAGGATTAGTAAGGTTTACGTCTTTAGCGTTGTTTTTTAATGGGATGTTGTTCAGTTGGTTCTATCTTCGTTTCTGCCAGCGACACCCTCAAGGAAGGAGAGGAGATCATGGTTCCTCATTCGCTTTTGCAAGGTTAGCTTTCAAGTTACTATCCTATAGCCTTTATCCTTTTAAATTTTTGATTATTTATTTATGGGACTACATTTAAGTGTTGTAAAAATATGAATATATTACATACGAGTGAAGTTATTATGTTATGTTATATTATGCGTAAATGTGTATTTGTTAGCTCTGCCAACAGGAAACATAAATCTGAAATTAGTGTTTAGTCTTCTGCCTAGCAGATTATTGGCAATTAAGTGCTCATATGATAACGATCGCAACTGATGTGTATGACTTATCCTTATGGTTAAATATTCATGCCCATGCTTGTTCACACTAGGATAATCGGTTGAAGATGGTAACCTCAATTAAATTTTAATGACTTCCGAAAATGAAGTCATGTCTTTCAAATTTGATATTTCTTTTGCACCCTTAAATCAGATTCTTAGTCTGTGATAGGCATTTTAATAAAAAGCTCATTTTGCTTTATTAATTGCCAGATTTCTTCAAACACTGATTTAATATGGGGGACACTTGTAGTGTCATAATTATATTTGGATTCTCGTTTAGGGCTGACTATATATATATATATATATATATACTCCGTGGAATTTAATGGACGAGATAAAAACGATTGTTTGTAAGAAGTTACGTATCGACCTCTTGTATTGAAAAATTCTTACTCATTACTTCTTTTATGCACATAAATGACTTAAGTATTTTGTAAACTAATAACAGACAAAAAATAATTCAACGTCGTAGATCACTTCTTAGTTTGCACTAGTAGATAATCAATGATCGAATACAGAAAATCGACATTTCATCTCGTGAACGTGTATCTTGTGGTTGTCATATTGATATCAACCAATGTCTTATATGTGGCGGAGAAAGGTGGTCACTAAAAGCAGGAAATAAATGCAGTCTGTAGTTTCTTTACAACTATTTTCTTTGTGAAGTAACGGATGTCGAAATTTTCTTGGAGAGGGGAACCCAAGTCATAAAGTGAAGTCTTTAATACCTAAGCATGAACCTTTGATTGCAAGAATGGGTTCATCCATCTTATACCAGACCTAGTGGATTAGATTACCACTGTATTTAGTTATTCATGCAGTGCGTGAGTTAGGAATGTATGTGCATGTAAGCATGGCATATTAACTTTAGCACTTAACTTTTGGTCATTGGGACGTGCTTTAAAACCTCGCTCCGTTGACATGCCTCAGAAATTGAGTTTTATCACTTTCATCTGGGCTGACATCAAAGTACGCGAAAAAGCCTTTTCTGGATAACTGAGTTGCATTATTATTTATTATTATTACGTTGAAAGGTGGAAGTTTTTCCAGATATGCCTTGTAAAGTAAAAAAAAGACAAGAAAGATTGAGTGTTTTCTGATGGCTTGGAAACTAGTAGTTTATCTCGATATTATTGACGATAGTAATAAGAAATTCTAAGTTAGTTTCAAATAAAGGGCAAATCTCATCATGTAGTTTCAGCTGTCGCACACCATATTACTGCGGTCACCCCACAGTCCAAAGCTGTGGTAGAATCAGGATTATGTGAAAGGTATTCCAAAAGTCAAACAATACCGTTTTTATGATAGAATATCTACTCAGTGTTCATTTTATTTAACCCAGTCACATTCGTATCTTTTAGGCTCTTTCCTGAACCAATTGCTACAATAGTCTCAATTCCTACTAACATGTGTTATCAAGTATTACTTCGAACTAAGCTGTTCCCTGCGCTGAGAAGAGAAGGTGAAATTACCGTGACATCTTCTTTTGGAATTGTTACACATGGCGCTATAACTCCTGATTCTGAAAGACATAGGTAGGTTTTTAATATGTGCTGTATGACCTTTTGCTGTTACTGGCCTTGTTGATATCTGGCTTCTTGGAGTGTCTATTAAAACAGGAGAGAAGTATTCGCTTCTTCTGTTGATGTGAATTATTGTTTATTTAAAACACAAACTTGGTACATTATGGGCACCAAGGGGTGCACCACAAAGAAACAATAAAACAATACAGGAAGGAAATAGAGACAGAATAAATGAAGGTCGTCATCCAGAAAGCAAGCAAGTATACTTGTCAAGATCATTCAAAATTCATCACTTCATGCTACTTTCAAAAAGAAAAGAAAGAAAGAAATTGCAGCATGTTCACCATTGACTGCAATCCTTGGCGATATCCCATTACGTTTTGAGCCACAAATTCGAGCTGCCTCTCGGCCCTCATCCAATGAGCCTTACCAACTGATGCTCACGTAACATGAATATCCTTCCTCCCACGGCATCCCGTGGTCGGCTGAACACTTCTCCGCTTTTTCCATCCAGTCCTGGGGCTGGGGGACAACGGTCAGTATGGGAGCCTCTGGGATGACATTCGTAGCACATGTTTAAGTCGCTGAAGCCAGTGTTTCAAGACACCTGCTACTACTAAAGATTTCGTCCGTCACACCTCTACCACCACTCACACAACCACCTAAATATACGAACTTGTTGACAGCTTCAAGCTGTTCACCTGCAAGGGTAAATGCAGGTACAGGTTCCTACCAGTCTTGCAACAGTACTTAACGCTTAGCCTGTCCAAAGCACGTATCATACTTACAGACACTGATCACCAACTAATTGAGTGCGATTTAGGTAGTTTGCACGCTATCACACAGTAAGACAATATCGTCTTTCTCCAGGAATGAAATCTGTACTACTACCACGCACGTCCTTTACAGCTAACTCCGGAATGTCATCGACCGCCAAGTTAGGGAGAAATGGAGAGACTAGGCAACCCTGTCTAACCCCACTATTAGTTGGGAACAGTGATGGTAGGTGGTTGTATTCTGTCATTTTACCTGAGGTTTTCCTGTGTAGGGCTTTCAATAGGTTTATAAACTTCGCTTCTGTCCAACAGACAGTTCTAGAGAGTACTTCTGTCCAATTAATCGAAGGTAGCTTTAGTATCACGAAACAACGATTGTTGGCCTGCTGATTCGAATACTGATTTCAACGTGTGCATATAACTCTGGTGTCTCCTCATTTGCGGATAAATCTTTCGCCTTTTACTAAAGATTTCCGTGGGGAGGCACAATACAATGAGTCTTACCTCATTTTTTTCAGCTCTGTCTTCGGACAGAGTATTTGTGCATCGGTGGCACAGTGGCTAGGACTTTCGCCGACCATGCACATGGTCCGGGGTTCGATCCCCTGATATCTATGGTCGGCCTGCAAAATTTGGGCCACCGATATCCATGCTGAAAATTCTATACTTGTACTGAAAATATGGTGTGGAATCAAGCTGTAATCAAAAATAAAATAAAAAATAAAAATGAATGGGTTTGAAGCCTTATAGTATTTATCAGCTCAGTATTATTTTACCATATAAGCGAAGAGGATTGAGAAACTGCCTCAACATAAAAACTGACGTATAATTTGGTTATGCAGGCAGATGGAGAGACGAATTAACATAGGGCATCGGTTCAAGCACATAAATGCAAACTGATAATAGCGTGGTCAAACACAAATGTAGGGAGAAAAATTATAGCTAAGTGAAGATTAGTGAAAACGTTCTAATTCCTAAATATGACAGAGTGAATACCTCTGTGACTAATTATGAACTGTAAACTGTTATTCTTTTATCCACTTATTCTTAACTATCAGAGAACCGCAACCTACACCCTTCTGAATGTCTGTCGAGTCAATTAATAATCACAGTAATATCGATCGTACCCCATTAGATTTGGCATTTTGACTTCAGTCATTGCGTTATGGGTAGGAATACCGCTCCCTCTGTTTTGGTTTGTGGATCAAGAGTAGAATTTCGCTCTACATTCTTAATAAAGACCTAGTTTGTTTGATTTTACCTTACTGAGGTGGCCCAATGAAGATCTCTTTGGTGGAAAATACACAGTCTTCCTTCATCTTTTGACGACGACCATATCCCACAACCATGTAATAGCGTCGAGTGAATTGCTAGGCAGTAGACACGCCCAATGATGGATGCTTGGATGTTTCCCTGGGGCTGAAGATAACAAAGAGATTCAACATCAGCGTTAAGATTTTCTACTATGCTATCTATTTGGGCTGGTGCGACTTTACAGATTTTTTCTGTGCATTAGAATTTCAATTGCGAATAGATTGTTTTGCTACAGAGTTTCACATCCAGTTCTCTCTGTTTACTGTGCTTTTAGGACCAGCTATTAAATTAGGCGAAGTTAAACCATAGAGAACTGGACAATTGCTTCGTCCTAGTCAAGGGTCCTTCAGCAGTACACCCGCCCACGACCCTACTAGTGCTCGGACAAAGGATCTTCAGGTTTGCGAGGTTGACCCATCGACCATTCAGTCAGCAAAAGCACTGCAAGAGACTGCAGACTTTCAGTAAGAGATGTCTTTGCTCGATACTGAAGACCAGTTGACCAGTCAAAAACGATAAGCAGTAACATGGGGCTCTGACATACGGCGGACCAGTGAACAACTTACTGTCCAACAAATATGCGGAAGGGAACAGAGATGGACTTGATGTATGTCTAGGAGACACTGAAATGTTTTGTAGAAATTCTGCGTCATTCTTTTGTTAATTAACTCAAAAGGTGCTTGTCTTGGAGTCATAACCTGACATATACGTTGGCTGTTATTTATATGTTAGAAAGGCCTCAAGAATTGTAAATATTTTTTTAGTCTACTAGAATGTTATCACAAGTTTTTGAGTATCTAGTTATTGTATTTAGTCAAATTGTTTGATTATTTACATGTTATTCAATATTAGTGTTACGCAAAATCAGTTTTAACTACACATGCCATAATGAAATCACTGTAATCTTTTCTCTTGTGGATTATATTGTATTTTCAAGTATTGGTTTTGTAGGGATTTTGTTTGATTGCATGGAGGATTTAATCATGAGCTGACATCAGTTAGAGAACCACTGGAAAACCTGGGAGTACTGGACAACTGTTTCGTCAGCCTAGTTTGGGACTCTTCAATAGTACGCACCCACAGGGATTCGGACCAAGGACCTTCTGGTTACAAGGCGAGCTCGTAGGCCATTGAGCCACTGGGACGCGATCCAATGGTCCTTTAATTCTAACTTCCGCCAATTCACGACATAGCGTGACCATTTCGCAATGTCTTCTTCGATTAGTTACTGCCTCATCTTCAACCTGCTGTACCCTACTGGTCACGGCTTCCCACTAGAACCCCAGGTTAACTACCTGAATAGGGCCAGTCACTAGTGAGCATCAGATTAATTTTCAAGTATTGGTTTTGTAGGGATTTTGTTTGATTGCATGGAGGATTTCATCATGATATCATCATTAAATTGTAATATTTTTCTTTTAGACGCATTGCTCTAAAGGCACTAAATGAACGTTTTATGAAGAAGGAGAATCTTATGACTACATCAAATGAATTGGTCACCACATGGCCTAGTTTAATGGATTCGGATGAAACACAGAAATCAGGAGAGAATGCGTCAAAGGAGTCTAGTGTAATAGTTAATTTACCAACTGATACAAGTTCGAGTAATTCCACGCTTACTGATTCGCAAAATGTATGACGTTACATCTCTAGTCAGTGAATATATTAATTAAACAGCTTGAAAGATTGAAATTTTGTATTATAATATTCATTCCACTTTGTACAATGACATTTTGATGCCGACCCTTTATGGGCTTCATTTTTATTACTTTAGCACATTGCCTAATACTTTCGAAACAACACTGTGTGATACATTTTAAAGTTACATTTATGAACTTGCATGGTTTATTTTCCCAGAATTTGTAAACGAGTAGGTGGTACTCACATGACATATCATAATCAATACCCTACTGTGGATAAATATATATCTTTTGAGTGTTTATTTTAATATAGATATATTAGTGAATTCATATCATAGAATTTTTGTTGATATTCTCACACTTACTGAATCCTGGGGAGTTTGAGTTTGGCAGATATAAACAAAAGCAGCTTAATTCTATTGTACAATATTTGAAAGTTGCCGTATTGAATACTTTACTCACTCAATGAAAGCATAAAACATAACATTACTGTGTCTTGGTTAAATTTTTGCCATAATTCATGCTTGCACATCAGTTAAAAAGTAATTTGGAAACTACTACTTCAACACTATGGCTTTCCCCGAATCTTCATCAACCTCATTTATCAGCTGTATGACAATGGTGCATGTCAGGTTGTAACGACAGAAGACAAGGGCCAGGCAACAGAACGTTTATTACGGAAAATCAACACATATTTATAGATTTTGATGTACATTATTGTAGGTTAATGTTAGTAGAAAATACAGTCTGTTGATTGGTTGTTTCCCACACAAAGTTAACCTTGCATCTCTTGTGGCTGTGTCAGTTCATCTATATGTTAACTGTATCCGCCTGTCCATCTTGACCTTGACCTCAATTACTGTCAACCAATTTGGCTAGCAACCATCTCTCACCACAAGGTGATCCACTTTTAAAGTAAATACGGAAGTTAAACAAGGTTGCTGACTACCTGTCTCGCGTGTATTTCTGATTGTGAGGGCAATTGTTACTTCCCGGCTGCCCACACCGTGGAAGTTGGTTGCAGGACCGCAGAGCCCAGGGGACAACTGCTTGAGGCCAGTCACACGCAGCCTGTTTTTGTTTGTTCCTTTTTATTTGGTGTGTCTCAGTAGCATATTTATCACTTCTGCCCTGTGACACGGCAGCAGGAAGCGCGGTCGTTGTTAATCCGGACCCCGACCGATCCGGCATGATATTTTGTGATTTTGTTTGACTACCACTCATTATATTCCTAATTGTGGTGGAGTGGATAATGCGTAAGACTGCGGTAAGCGAGAATACAGAAATATATGTTAGACACCGATAAGGAGATTCTAGGGGATAGGGACTTTGTGGATGATGTGGATGTCTAATGTCACACAGACTCGAAGACTTACAGATGGAAAACCAACAAGTTGGCAGAAGAAGCATGCAGTGGTGAAGACAGGACTTCAAGTGACCCTAGAGATGTGATGAAGATAACCAACCAACCAACCAACAACAAGGACCAATCACTATCAGCGAGCGAAATTTGAAAGGGGTTACTTCGTTAACTTATCTACGAAAGAATAGATACGGAACAAAGAGTACCCTTTTCGATAACTTCATCATCAGGCTCTACAGTTGTTGCTTAAATAACATCGAATTAATAGATTACAGTTCAATAGCATCAACATAAAATAAGCTGAATATCAGAAGAATTAGGAAAGATAATAGTACAAATTCATGAGTTTATAGTTTCTACTAAAGGCCAACTAGGGCAGTAGTAGGGACTGGACTTGTTTCTTTTGAACACATAGAACTGGTTGTTTGGGGCCTACTGCAATAGCCTCTGCTGTTTGGAGAATGCGGTGCTTCGACGATTTTGGTAGTTTGTTAGGCACTTGGTATATTATAGAGAAGGATTCTTCTACGCTGGCTTTGTGACCGGTTTGCACCAGATGGTCTAATATCGAGCTGTTAATAGTTTTAACTACACCTTTACTTAGCCATATCTACGAAACATCGTTTCAGCGGCAGGCGGAACGGATAAGGATGTGAAAACCAGAATCGGAAAGGCAAGATAGAACTTTATCACTTTGAAATCAGTTTGGATATCTTCTGCACTCAGCATAAAGAACGAACTTCGGATTTTTATAACAGGAATGTTAAGTTAATTTTTCTGTATGCATCAGAAACCTGGCACGAAAAGCATTTCGAGCAGGATTCTGCAGACATTTTTATCAACAGCTGCTTTCGCTGGTTCCATACTGAAGATCAGATGGCCGACGGGAAAGGATTAGCAAAAAGAAAATCTTGGAACGAGCCAACCAATAACCTATTGCTGAAGAAATATGCTGAGGAAAATGGTGATGGATTGGACACACGCTGAGGAGACCTCTAAGTGACATCGCGCGCCAGGCCATGGTTCGAGTGGGAAACGATGAATTGGGTGTCCGAGGGTTATATGGAGGAGACCGTGCGAAAAGGAGATGGGAAACTATGGTCAATCGTGGGGCCAGCTAATGAGGATCGCAGGGAACAGGACTAAGTGAAGATGTGATTGCTATTGAAACCCTAGGTTCCACTTGGAACCCAGCAGAATAATACTAATAATATATCGTAATAATATCAAGTGAGAAATAAAGGAAAAAAATGACGCGATTTATGCAATCATATGGAGTGTTATAAGTCAAAAGATGTTGCAAACAAAGTAGTAAGATATTTTAACCAGGAGGAATTGTTAAAGACTTACGAACCATCTTATGACTTTGCAGCGGTTCATTTATCATTTCAAGATGAAACACTAATGCGTTTGTAGCAATTCGATTGGTTTTAGATACATCATCTTTAATCTTCAACCTTAGCTCCCTATGGTTAGATGAATTTAATCTGCCAAATGCACAGCTTCCTACACACCATGTCGATTGACATTCGGTAGCCTCATGTCTTAATCTAACTGCTCTTTATTTTCAAGTGACATTAAATAGTTTGTTTAAGTCCAACATTACATTGAGTTTAGGCGTTGCTCTGTCAGACAGCGTCTCTGCCTTGAGTCTGAAATTGTTTTTTTTGCTTCACGTTCCCCAGTGGAACATAGGGCTTCAAGCTAGTGGCTTGAAGTTTCTGTAGCAGTGTTTATTTTACAGAATGGGGCTGCTAGCCTCATACCCAACCTTTCCTCTTCACCAGCATTATTTGTGGTTTAGCGAGGTAAAGGAGTGCGTCGGCTGGGGATCGAACCCTGGTCCATGTGCATGCCCGACCGATAACTGCTACCTTGCCGTGGTGGTCAGGCTTGAATGCCGCATTGACCCAACAAGCTAAACTGGCTGGGACTCATGTCCCTGCATGTACTACCATGTCAGGAAGGTTGTTTGGATAGCGGTTAGACTAAAAGCAGTTACCATGGGGTACATCGGCTCCAGAATTCTATCGGATCAAATGGCGTATGAACCCATATGGGTCACCGGCAACCATGGGAACGCAGCTGCTGACGCTGCTCCGCTGCCTTGCGGATTAGACTCCAAGTCAAAGGCTCGAGGGGTGGTCCCTTGGGAAAACCACCTGCTTCGGTCTGGGCGCCAGGGCAGTATTTCAGCCCTCACACAATATTGTGTGGCGCATCATTCTTGGTGTCATATTGTACCAAGTTTTTCCGCGTTTAAATAATAATAATAATTTCTCCATGCGCATGGTCGGCGAGCGTCCTAACCGCTATACCACCGACGCACGTCTGAAATTGGTACTGGTTGAAAATGAAGTCATAATTAGGGCGAGAGTGAATAGGTTGTGCATTATTGGTATTCTGAGATAATCTCTATCTCTATCAGTGTTACAGGAAAGAAAACCCAAATGAATCCTTCCGAGCAAAATAAGTTCTTTTAAATTTAATTCGTTTGACAGATAATGGAAGTAACATACTGTGTGTAATAAGGCGATAGATAGTTGAGTCCTATGATAACATTGACTAGGTCTTCATAACACTCAGGAAGAAAAATGTGCCGTGTTTATATGGTAGTGGGTTGATTTTAGTCTTTGATATATGCTATCTCATCTATTTATTTCATCTCAATGTCAGATTCATAAACAAAACCTGAAACCAGAGAATTCAGTTGAATAGGTCTAGGTAACCTCTAAGAGAATTTGCTGTTAAGTCTTGAATTTAAAATTGATACTAAGGCAGGAATTCTCCGAAAACGGTTATAACAGTCTCAGTAAAGCATACCTAGCTGCCAGTCTCTGAGTGATATTCTCATGTGGGAAATTATTCAGTCAGCACTTGAGAGACAAGTTGTCGTATTAAGCTACATGAATATGCTCGTGGCAGTTCACTTGCTGCTGTAAAGCCGGATACATTTTCCGCATTATGCATCCGCTTGTAAAACGCTACCATGAATATTATTCAGCTTGGCCAACAAAGAGACAAGGAAAGTGTCCTTAGTGTCGATACCAGGACATCTTGTGAAACTCGGGACATCCTGCTGCATTTGAAGAGTCCTCCAAAGTTTTATACAAGATCTGACCAAACCTTTTAAGGGGAGTGACATCTTGGCATAGCTGAGTCATTAGCCATTCGGAAATCCAAGCCAACCACTGTGTATCCAACGGTTGGAGGCAATCGGCAGGAAGCCTTGCTTGACCTAGGTTTCGTGCTAGTTGGCACTCACCAGTCAGAAAGGCGTATCTGCAACCTTGAAGGAATTCATGTCCCTTCTGAGATTCGAACCCGCGTCACCCAGTGAGTACTGCAGTCAGAGACGTTACCACTGAGCTATTCGCGCTGGCTCGCGGTTGACCTCCTGTAGGACTGTATTGGATACTTTAATTGGACACTAGTTAGTAACTAGTGTAATGTGTCTAGTCCTTTGCTTCGTTCAGACTGAATTCTATCAGTCAAGTTTGCAATGTGACCATCATCAGGCTAGGTGGCTCGCTATCACTTAGCTCTTTGAATTGTTGATATTAGGTGGTTGGAGGTAATCGGCAGGAAGCCTTGGACCCAGGTGGCCAGCCACCTAGCCTGATGATGGTCATACATTGCAAACTTGACTGACAGAATTCACTCTGTACCAAACAAGGGACTAGACACATTACACTAGTTACTAGCCAGTGAGCAGTCAAAGTATTCACCCTTTTCCTTTGCTATGGCTATCATGAATACTCTATTTTCTCAAGGAAGTTATTATTAATTAGTTATGTTTATTATCCGAACTTTCTGTTTAATTTTTTAAAATCCTCACTTGTATTGTGTAACTGCATCCTGTGTTTTCTTCTATATTTTAATCCATAACTGGAACCAGTTCTGAAATGTCCTCACTCTTCTGTCATATATTAGCGAATTTATATCCTGGTTAATGACTTCGTTGTAAATACTATTGATTAAATAGGATGTTGTCTTAATTTTTACAAAACTATTCTGTTGACATTCCGATCAATTATCAAGTATTGGTTTTTGCAGGGTTTTTGTTTGATTGGTTGGAGGATTTCATTATGAGCTAACATCGGTTAGAG